CTGGCATGAGGAGATGTTTATGAAAATCCCAGGTGCATATTTCTGATGTCAGGTTTCAAACCCCATCCTGATGTTTTTTTCCATTTGAAAAGGCCCAAACAGAGAAGCAGGTACTCTATTTCACATCCCAGGATCCCCGGAGGCAATATAACGGTTGTTTTCTCCTGGCACAATTTAGCATCTAGGCTTTTTTATAAGAGCTCTCTTGTAAGTCTGGATTTTTCCATTTGTGTTGTGACAGGTGACGCCCTTTCAGAGTGAAATGTGGCGAAGTATCTCTGACTGCCAGGTGAATTGGGGCTGACTCATAGACTTGGCTGTATAAAAAAGCTTGTGCGAGAGCCGTTTTGACTGCGGCGCACTGGCGAATCTCGACAAAAACTGCCGGTCACATAATCTGAGCTTTGCTACATCAACTACACCACTTACAACAGGCACGCCGGATACATTATTGGACATCGTCTGCAGACACAATATCAACACAGCGTTTCCACCAGGCCTATACTATGAGTCACTATCCCCCAGTTGGAAGACCAGTTGACCTACCCCTTGACCAGCTCAACCACGATGAAGTCATTTCCGTCGCCGCTGTTGAACAGGATGAGTCCGTCAGATGAGGTGGTCTTGAACTGGAAGAACAGATGCATGGAGTAATACGCCTGCAGGGTTGTCAGAGCCACGTAACTGGACCGCGACTTGAACGTCACCGGGTCCGCAATGATGTTTTTGAACCCTATCATGGCGTTGAGCTCGCAGTAGTCGATGTCCCCGTTCTTACAGAGGTCTGTCAGGACAGAATATCTGCGTTAGTTTGTTGTTCAGCTTGCGGTCACGTGCCGTGTGGAAGATAAAGTCCAACTTCTGGTCTAACTACCTATACCCTGGTCTACCCACCTATACCCTGGTCTAACTACCTATACCCTGGTCTACCCACCTATACCCTGGTCTAACTACCTATACCCTGTTCTACCCACATATACCCTGGTCTAACTACCTATACCCTGGTCTACCCACTTATACTCTGGTCTACCCACCTATACCCTGGTCTACCCACCTATATAGGCCATGCCGTTGAAGGAGAGGCTCTGAAGGTGACCTATGAAGTTGGAGGGAACCATTGACATGAACCTCTTCTCCGTAACAATGCCCGTCTCGATGTTGTGAAACTCCAACTGGGTGTGGTCGCCTGCCATTTGACCTTACGTTTGGAAGATGGGAGGAAATAGAAAGGGGGGGGGCACGGTTGGTTGAGGTCATTCATGAGTTCAGCAGGGCCCAGACCACTGCCCCTGTTGCAAGTTTAAAGCTATACACGTCCAATTTTACACAACGACCAGGACCACGGTGAGTTACACAAAGGGCCAGCTTCCTAAATAATCTCGGGACTACAAAGCATGTTCAGTAGAGAAACTCTTTCGAGTCCAAGACAGATAAAAGATTGTCACGACGGCTCAACAGTTTCACAGTGTGTCTTACCTAGATGATTCCGGGACTGTGCTGAAACATGATGACACAGTAACACAACAGAGGGAGACAGAGGGAGATTGTACCTTCAATGGGTTGCAGATCATCTAACTCAGATGATTCCGGGACTGTGCTGAACATGATGACACAGTAACACAACAGAGGGAAACAGAGGGAGCTTGTACCTTCTACGGGTTGCAGATCATCTTACTCAGATGATTCCGGGACTGTGCTGATCATGATGACACAGTAACACAACAGAGGGAGACAGAAGGAGATTGTACCTTCTATGGGTTGCAGATCATCTGACCTATACGATTCCGGGACTGTGCTGAACATGATGACACAGTAACACAACAGAGGGAGACAGAGGGAGATTGTACCTTCTACAGGCTGCAGATCATCTAACTCAGATGATTCTGGGACTGGGCTGAACATGATGACACAGTAACTCAACAGAGGGAGACGGAGGGGGCTTGTACCTTCTACGGGTTGCAGATCATCTACGGTGAGTTTTAAACCCTTTCCTCTCCTGAACACCCGCACCGTGTGCCACTCGTTATCGTTCAGGTTCTGACCCGCAAATATGGTCTCGGGACCCTTGCCTGTAGGATAGTCCAAACTTAGGTTAGCACACCCGCACACACACACCTTGGGATGGGGGACGGGGGGGGGGGACAGGAGAGAGAAAACCAGAGTTAGTGCAGTGACACAGTGTGTGTGTGGAGGGAGGAGGTGTGAAAGAAAACAGATCAAAAAAGGTGAAAAGAAATGGGAACAAATAGAAAGAAAGAAAGATACAAAAGAAAAGAAGGAAGAGATGATGAAAAGGTAATGCGGTAAAAAAATATACTTTGATAAAGCAAAACATTTAATGACCCATAAGACAACACCCCAAGTTCTTTCTCGCATCATTAGCTGAAAAACAAAACCTCATCTTCCTTCCTGGTAAGAAGGCATGTTGATATTTTTATGACTGTGCTATTAACGGAGTCACCACTAGAGGGTGGTATACTGTCAGCACAAAACTTTCCTTGCCTGGTGCAAAGCAGAGCTAAGGTACAGAAAAACAAACTCCATTTTGTTTAGCTATGCATTTCCAAACCATACTGTGTTCCGCCTCTCTAAACGCAATTGTAAATAATGACATTAGGGGAGAAAATCCTAGACGTAATGTCATAAAATAAATTATGAAAGAACCCCGATCAAATTAATAGAAATTAATGAATAATGAGAAGAATCTCCTGATCAGAGTTTCATTACTCCAGGTGCTATAGTCTTCGCTGTTTCCGCAGGTTGAGGAAATACGGACTGTGATTTTGTAAAGAGGGTTACTCTGTCATGTAAACCAAGTGATGTGTTGACAGAGGTGTAGACATAATTCCCACCAGACGCCAGGTGGCCCTTTTAAGGCATCATTAGATGGAAGCGTTAACTGAAAGTCCTAAATAAGTGTCTGCTTAATTATTAAAATGTAACAAAACTGACACTTAACACTGTATTTTTAACCCTTGTTCCAATTGTATTTTGTGCAACTAGTGTATGCAGAGTATGCAGGGTAGGCAGAGTATGCAGAGTATGCAGGGTAGGCAGTGTATGCAGGGTAGGCAGAGTATGCAGAGTATGCAGGGTAGGCAGAGTATGCAGGGTAGGCAGAGTATGCAGAGTATGCAGGGTAGGCAGAGTATGCAGAGTATGCAGGGTAGGCAGAGTATGCAGAGTATGCAGGGTAGGCAGAGTATGCAGGGTAGGCAGTGTATGCAGGGTAGGCAGAGTATGCAGAGTATGCAGGGTAGGCAGTGTATGCAGGGTAGGCAGAGTATGCAGGGTAGGCAGTGTATGCAGGGTAGGCAGAGTATGCAGAGTATGCAGGGTAGGCAGTGTATGCAGAGTATGCAGGGTAGGCAGTGTATGCAGAGTATGCAGGGTAGGCAGAGTATGCAGAGTATGCAGGGTAGGCAGAGTATGCAGAGTATGCAGGGTAGGCAGAGTATGCAGAGTATGCAGGGTAGGCAGAGTATGCAGAGTATGCAGGGTAGGCAGAGTATGCAGAGTATGCAGGGTAGGCAGAGTATGCAGGGTAGGCAGAGTATGCAGAGTATGCAGGGTAGGCAGAGTATGCAGAGTATGCAGGGTAGGCAGAGTATGCAGAGTAAGCAGTGTACATGTAAAGTTGTATATCATAATCAGTATTTTTTCAGGAGACCAGCCTACAGAACGGTTCCTCGTTGAGCTGACACCGGATGAATAATGTATTTTTGAACCAGGAGACACACAGTTTGTCCCAGAACATGTCCTCACACCGAAGAGGAACAACCATCCCCTGGACACCGCTGAGCTGTATCAAGGCATGTCAAGACGCCCTGCTAGATAATGGATGTGAAGAGAATGGAATATATCCTTTGATCCTTCATTAGACCCAGACTACACTACATGCGTGTGTGTGTGTGTGTGTGTGTGTGTGTGTGTGCGTGTTTGTGCATATAGCAGAACATATACTGTATATCGAACCTTCGAAAACCAATACCAATATTTTTACTTTCCAAAAACTGGTCCCTTTGGATGGTGTCTGTGCAATGCTGTGATGAACATACTGGACAACTATTACAGCAGGTCACACAACACGGCCAATCACTGGACTGAGGCTTTGAAGATCGCAGACAAAAAGAGGGGGAAATAAACAGCCATCAAGTCAGGTCTAATCACGATGTTCCTCCATCAATTCATCCGTCCATGTCTGTCTGCTGCACCCATCCTGTCTATAAGGTGGATATATAATAATAATATATAGTAATGTATATACAGATCTGCATCACTGTCTCCTGTACCACGGGGAAAAAGCAGCTTCACTGGAAGGCTGACTGAGAACATTACCGGTATGTCCTAGGTCTGTCGATCTGGGCAAAAAACTTCCTGAAAAGTTTCATCATTAAGATTGTTGGACCAACAAATTAAGATTAAGCAGCCTCCCGGGCTAGATGTCCTGAGAAGATTAACCAGAGTCCCGGGCTAGATGTCCTGAGAAGATTAACCAGAGTCCCGGGCTAGATGTCCTGAGAAGATTAACCAGAGTCCCGGGCTAGATGTCCTGAGAAGATTAACCAGAGTCCCGAGCTAGATGTCCTGAGAAGATTAACCAGAGTCCCGGGCTAGATGTCCTGAGAAGATTAACCAGAGTCCCGGGCTAGATGTCCTGAGAAGATTAACCAGACTCCCGGGCTAGATGTCCTGAGAAGATTAACCAGAGTCCGGGCCTTGATGTCCTGAGAAGATTAACCAGAGTCCAGGGCTAGATCTCCGGAGAAGATTAGGTCCTGGGATAAATGCCTTGAATACGCTCTACTCATCTATCTGTCTGCAGAAGCCAATATCCAGCACAGATCTCTCCCTGGCTTATTGAAGGCCTGCCTGGAGGACATGTGGAAGTGTAGCCTAATGGAAAAGAGAAGCCGGAAGAGAGGATGGGAAAATTATCCAGTCAGTCAGCTGTTGGCTCCAGGGTTGTCAAGGCTGGTGGTCTGGACTGCCTAGGCCCTGCCTGGCTCAGTTGGTGGAGTGTGGTGCTTGCAATGCAAAGGTTGTGGGTTCAATTCCCACCGGCG